TAATGGAAACCAGTGTGGCCATTTCTCAAAGAACTAAAAACTGAATTACCACTAGACTCAGCAATTAAGTTGTTGGGTATATATCCAAAAGAATGTAAATTATTTTACCATAAAGACACAAGCACCCATATGTTCATCTCAGCACCATTCACAATAGCAAAAGCATAGAATCAGCCTAGATGCCCATCAACTGTAGACTGGATAAAGAAAATATGGTACATATATGCCATGGAATACTATGCAGCCATAAAGAGGAATGCAATCATATCTTTTGCAGGGGCATGGGTGAAGCTGGAAGCCACCGTTCTTAGCAAACTAACACAGGAACAGAAAGCCAAATACTGCATGTTGTCACTTGTAAGTGGGAGCTAAACTCCATATCCACTCCAGCCTGAGTGGATAATCATTGCCTTATAGTAAGTCATAGTTACAGCATTGTGGTTATAAGCATGAAATCATGCTTAGACCACCTCTGTATGAATCCTGGCTCCTCAGTTTGCTAGCAGTATACATATCCTCCGGATTTTAGTTTACTTACTTGTACAATGGAAATAAAAATAGACTCTTAAACTCTATGGTTGTTGCAAGGATTAAATGAGTTAACATACGTAAAACATTTAAAAGAATGCCTTGGAGATGGTAAGTGCACAGAAATTGTTAGTTATTCATGTCATACCCTTGAGGAACATTGGGCTGGAAAAAGTTTGAGAAGAATTTTGGTGTGCTTCCTTCCCACAATAAAGCTGTTAAGTGAGGCTACAGCTTTCATGCAACACGGCACATTAGGGCACCTGCAAATCCATGTGTTCCATCCTCAGCGGGGCCTTTAGTGCTGCACTTGACAGTGTTTTTAATGTGTTCTTGGTCAGCCCCCTGTTTTATTCCCTATTCGATATTCCGCATCTTTGTCCACTCCTCAAACCCTGTATCTCACTCCACTCAAACACTTCCCAGTTGGAAAAAAAAAAAAAAAAAATCCCTTTATTCTGCATCTTTCTCGAACTGCCACCCTGTCTTTCCCTTTCTCTTTACTGATAAGTACCTCAAAAGAGTATCACCTCATTCTCCCCACTTCCTCACTTTACAATCTGCTGCACTCCCGATTATACTCTCATCACTCCTCTGAGAGTGCTCTAGTATGAATCAACAACATCCTTGTAACTGGATCCTGAGGTCTTTTTGCAGCAACCTTGCTTATTTGATCCCTGCTCCATGGCCGTTGACTGTTGTCTACTGTCGGCTTCCGCCGTACCTCTCATGCCTGTTTCTCCTCTTATCTCTTTGATAGTTCCTTTTCAATCCCTCCTGTAGTCTTTTCTCCTTCACACACCTAAAAGTTTGTCGTGCCTAGAGGTTTCACCTGTTGACCCTCTTATTTTTGCAGTCTATGAGTGTATCTTAAATGATCACATCCACTGACAGTATTTTATTTACAGCAGTGATTAAGCATGCAGGCATTAAGGTAGGAGTGACATGGGTTTAAATCTGGCTCTGCCACTTACTAACTGTGCAAATTACTTTACCTCTTCTAAGCCTTGGTTTCCTCATTAGTACAAAGGGGTCAAATATGCTTCCTAAATTATAAAGTCTTTGTGAGCGTTAAATGAGATAGTGCTCGTGAAGTGATAGACACATAATAAATAATAAATGTTAAAGATATTAATTCTAAATTCAAAGCCCAGCCTTTTCTCCTGACTTCAGTTTCATGTAACTGACAACCTACTTAAAGTATCTACCTGCATACCCTCAGAAATCTGAAACTCACTATGTCCAAAACTACCATCATAGTGGTTTCCTCCAATTTTGTTTTTCATCTTGTGTTCTCAATCTCAGTGAATGATACCACCATTTATCCAGTCACCTAAGCTGTAATAAACCTGCACATGCATACTCTTAGCTCCCTTTTGCTCGTCTGCCACATGTTCAACTAGCAACTAAGCCCTATTTTTTCTCTCTTGTTAAAATATGTCCTGTCTGGGTTTTCCTCCCATCTTCCATGCTGCTGCCTTAGTTAAGGCCTTCATCCACATAGTATTCTAATTAGTTCTCCCTTCACATATCTGGTCTTTTAATTGGTCTCCCTGTCTCCCACAGCTTTGTTCCCTTTTAGTCCATTCTCTAACTGCTGCTAGAATAATCCTCTAGTGTCTTACTAATGATTATAAAATAAAATCTAAATCCTTTAGTGTGATATACAAGGCCCTCAGTGATTTCACACTTTCATGTCAAATAGCTTATACTGCTTTCTCTACTGGAAATGCTCCCTCACCTTGGCCTTATGGTAAGCTTGCAGTCAATGGCTAACATTTAGCTCCAGATTCACCTCCTTCAGGAAAATTTCCATGGCTGGTTTACCTTTTACTCAAATTTTGTTTTCTCCCATTCTTCCTAAAGATATTTACTTCCTACAAATACTTATTTTCTTAAATACGTTGTCTCATGTATTAATATGCATATCTACCTTCCCTTACTAATGTAAGCTCCTTGAGGGCAGGGACATTGTTGTGAACTTTCCTGTTTTTACTCCGTTTTGTTTCATGGCTTATCATAACATATAATACCACAGTATTGTTGATCAAATAAATGCATGAATGAATCAACCACTCGTGAACTGTGCTAATAAAAATGTACACCATTAGGAGCAAGGAAAATGATCATCGTTTCCCTGTTACTTTTTTCTTTTGCCACAGTCAGATCATTTTTTAAAGAGGAGCACTGGTTAAAAAAAAATTCAGATCCCTTCTGTTTCTGAGAGTTGTTGATTCTACCTTATCCTGAATACTATAGGGGATACCAAAGTATGAGATACAATATGCATTCACAGTCAGCTTACAATATATCTGACCAAATGAGCATAACATCTATGAAAAACTTAAGTAGAAATATGTTGGGAATGATAAGGCAATAGGTCTAGGCATCATATTAGTAATATAGCATCAATAAAAACTCAGGAGGGGTATTTCGCTAATGGCTGCAGTGGTTAGACAAGACTTTCTGAAGGGATGGGACTTGAGTTGGACTTTAGCAGATCAGAAGGCATGAGTAATGTAGTAATAACAGCAAAGAGACAGAATTGTAAACTGGTTAACGGCATGGACTCTACAGTACAACTTTCTGGCTTTAAACTCAGCTCTCCTACTTACTTGACCATATGTCTTTGGGCAAGTGATTTCACCTCTCTCAGACTCACCTAATTCTTCCATGCATTTAAGATGGCAATCATATTTGCCTCATATTGTGAAGATTAAGTAAGATATTGTGTATAAAGAGTTTAGAAGAGTACCTAGTTTATAGTAAGTATTTAATGAGTCAATAAGTATTGGTTGTTTTTATTATGCCTTACATACCCTCAGGCTTTCACTTTGCACAATTTGTTTTGCAAATTTCCTGAGCAATCCTATGAGAACTGGGAAGTGTTGTATTCCCATTTGACAGATGATAAAACTGAGGTCCAGAAAAAGAAAGTGACTTATCAAAAGTGAACTAATGGAAAAGTCAACCCTTCCTTTGGCCATTGGTTAGCCTTTCATACTCAGTGATATCACGGCTCCTCAGTAGTTGCTTTATTCATGTCTGGGAGATAAAGTGGAGTTGGGTACAGCAAAGGGTTGGAGGGAATAATGGGAGAGGAAAAGTGTTGAGAAAAAGCCAGAACTATCTTCAGGATTTGATGTTCGTTAAGGATAGCCCAGCTCAGTGGATAAGGTTCCAGTCCTGGTCCTGCCTTTTAGGATACGAAAGAAGCATAACAGACAACCCACCCTACTAGGTTAGAAATTAGTTGGGAGGATATAAGTTTCATGCCTCACTCTCCTTGTCAGTCATCAAAACAAACAGAAAGTTCTGAAAGGTTTGAGTCAACCTCCTGAGGAGGAAAGGGGAGCTTTTCTGCAATTAATAACATCTGGGAAAATTGTTTCTGATTACGACTAATGGGTTCCAAGGGTAATTCTTCACATTCAGTGGTGTGCGGTTCAGGTCCGGTTGTCACATTGAGATGAATATAGTGATAACTACAATTTTTTCACTCAAATCACTAATCAGAACCCCCCCCCACCAAGGGATAAACTACATCCTGGATTACCATTTTTAAAAATTACTTTTATAGGCTCTATTTCAAAAGGCTTCTTCCTCCCTGTTTCTAGTCAAGGTCTCCGACTATAAAGCCACACACAGAAAAACAGCCTCACTATTTCTCCTTAAATCATTTCTCTCTTTCACTTCCCCTCCTTCTCTCTCTTTCTCTCTCTTCTCTCTTTCTCTCTCTCTCTCTCTATATATATTTTTTATCTCTCTCTCTCACACACACACACATACACATACAAAAATAAACACTCACATACACACAGAGTCCCAGTTCTACTTCTTGACATTAAACCAGTAAATCGATACTCTCTGATCAACAGTGTGATTTCTAAAGCACTACAGCCTAGAATACCTTTTAAAAATGAAGTATAGGCCGGGCACGGTGGCTCACGCCTATAATCCCAGCACTTTGGGAGGCCGACGTGGGTGGATCACAAGGTCAGGAGATCGAGCTCATCCTGGTCAACAAGGTGAAACCCCGTCTCTACTAAAAATATAAAAAATTAGCTGGGCATGGTAGCGCATGCCTGTGGTCCCAGCTACTCAGGAGGCTGAGGCAGGAGAATTGCCTGAACCCAGGAGGCGGAGGTTGTGGTGAGCCAAGATCGCTCCATTGCACTCCAGCCTGGGTAACAAGAGTGAAACTCCGTCTCAAAAAAAAAAAAAAAATGAAATATAGTTCAAAAGCCTACACCAGATCAACCAACAAGTGCTTACTATGTGCCAGATAGTCTGCATTTTTAACAGGACTCCTATGACTCTGTACATTAAAGCCTCTCGTTGTGGAAAAGAATAGAAAGCCAACCAGGCACTATGAATGCTAAACCTATATCTGTCATATTTAATTCTCACAACAAACTGATGAGTTGGCTAGCTCTGTTATCTCCACTTTACAGAAGAAGAAACCAAGGCTCATGCTCACTTCCACAGCACATAAAGTAAAATTGGAAAACTGAATAGATGACTAGCATGGTTCTTATGTAAGGAAAACACATAAATTCATAAAATACACTGTATATTTGTATATTTGTGCAATGAAAGGACTAGCAACATGAATGAATGCATAACTTCTATACTCAACATGTTCAATGAATCTCATACACATAATACTGAGTGAAAAAATGAGACAAAAAAACAGCATATGATTTTGTTCATAAAAACTTTAAAAAAAGACAAAAGTAAACTATAGAGTTTATATAGAGAGAAAAGCAAGCAAGCTATTATCTATTATTTCATATTCTCATTCATATTCCTTCCCTCCATTTCTGTTTCTTTATGTATAATGTATCTCAAAATGAAATTTCATTTTTCTAGGCCCTAAGGAAGGGTCTGGGACCTTTCGCAAGAGAAATTTTACAGGCTCCAACTTGTGATGCATCCTAAGTACAGACATGAGAATTGTGAGAAGAGGAAGCCAGGGTAAAGGGGTGGGCTAGGGACAGTTATTTTGCATGGCATGCTCTGAGGAAAAACATTAGCTCACAGGGGAAAAATAGGTCTTCATAAAAGTATGTTACATGCCAAAAAATGTTCCGTGACTCATTGTACTCCAAACCCCTATAATGAAGAACTCCAGTAACCCCAATAGGCCAAAATGCTAATGTTGAAATTTCATAAATATAAACCTCTGTTTCTTGCTCTGGTTCAGGAGTTGTGGGAACCAGAGAACAATTGCTGGTAGCATGGTGTATCAGGGGAAAAAAACAGAGTTTGTGTGTCTGACTGACTTGAGATCATTTTCTTGGATTTCCTAAACTGTGTAACCTTAAGAAAGTTACTTGCTTTCTCTGAGTCTCAATGTCTTCATAAATGGGGATGTGAAAGGCTTAGCGCACACTAAGAATCAATCAAATTAAAATGGAATAATTGTATTACCTAACTTACAAATTTATTTTAGGAAAGCACCTGACACATAGTAGATACATAGTAAATAAGTTTTCTTCATTTCTTCACTTAGTGGCCCTTGCAAGATCTCAAAAGATAAAGTAGAAAACTCAACGTCAGATGACTTGAGAAGATATGTGCTAGTTTACTTTTGGAAAGGCATGTTTCAAAGGCTATAAATTTATCATTGTCAAAAGAAGACACTCCTGAAAGCATGAAGTAAATCTGCTATCTACTTTAAGTTCTGTCTTATATGGGGGAACAGAAAAACAGAAAGAAGGGGTCTACCTGGCTATATTTCTTCATCAAAACAATATTCTGCTGCTTCAAAATTTACTTTCTGTTAAACCTCCCTACCCACAAATCAATGTAGCACACAACCATAGGCGCTCAAAGGAATAAAATTCTAATAACATCGAAGCAACTATCCTTTGGTATATATTAAAACATCTTGCTTATCTCCTTTGACTAACATTACTTAGTGAAAAGGTATTCCATGCTGGTTATTGAAAATGAGTGTAATATAAGAAACTGTAAAAATACCAGGTGACTCCATTGAAACAGATGTGATGCCGAGAGATAATTATGAATATCATCTTTTTGCAACCCTAGGGAGGTATCAGCTATTGCTGTTGATGTACCTCTTCTACTGAACTACCTGCCTAACCCACCAACCACAGAACATACAGTCGACATGCTAAAATTACTGTAAAGGATTTTGGTTTGGTAGCCAGAGAGACTTGTGTCTGAACCCTGGCTATGATACTGGCTTGGTGGACTTTAACAAGTCTCTTTTCTCTCAGTCTCAGTTTCCTCATCTCTCAGACAGGAATAGCAACAGTACCTGATTCATGAAATTATTGTGAAGACTCAATGAAATTATGTTATATAAAACTCTGGCCAGACACAGTTGCTCACACCTGTAATCCCAGCACTTTGGGAGGCTGAGACAGGCGGATCAGGAGTTCGAGGCCAGCCTTACCAATACAGTGAAACACTGTCTCTACTAAAAACAAAACAAAAAAATAGCTGGATGTGGTTGTGGGTGCCTGTAGTCCCAGCAACTCGGGAGGCAGAGGCAGGAGAATTGCTTGAACCCAAGAGGCGGAGGTTGCAGTGAGCCGAGATTGCGCCACTGCACTCCAGCCTGGGCGACAGAGCAAGACTCCATCTCAAAAAATAAAAATAAAAATAAAAAATAAAAGTCCTAGGATGACACTTCACATCAGTTAGGTACTCCAATGTTAGTTTCCTCTTGCCATGCTCATTAAAACATCTACCTTATTTCAGTTAATAAATTTAGTTACAGGTTTGAGTCTTCTCAGTTTGTAGTTGACTAGATCCTAAGACACTGTAGCATGCTCTGTTTCAAAATGGCTCAGCCTGAATCTTTACTTAACTTCACTAAACCAGAGCTCAGAAAAACTGTCCAGCCAAATGATATTCAGCTTGAAGACTGTTTTGGTATGGCCTATGAGCTAAAAATGGTGTTCACCTATGTAAAGGATTGCAAGAACAAAAAGAGGATGAGGAAGAAGTAAAAGAGAGTATGTGGCCTACAAGCCTAATAACATTTACTATCTGACCCTTGGAGAAAAAAAACTTGTCAAACTCTGCAGTAGTCCCTAGTGAGTAGGAAAATCACATGTAATTATTTGTCTGTGGGATTACTTTTTTAAAATCTGTCCTTTCTTTTTTCTTCTTTTTCTTGTAACAAATTCTCACAAATCTGGGTTGGCCTGTGATCTAGGCTTTGCCAAAAAAAATATCCTACTTTCTCCGGTGACAGTGACTGATCAATCCCAATTCGTGTCAATCTCAGTCTTTCACTGAGATGTAGATTCTAGGAAAAAAGGAAGTTTCACCCACTGAAGTTGCAGAATGAGGCTCTTGTCAGCCATGTTTCCTGGCAAGTGGACAAAACCTGTCTGAAGTAAGAGAGCATGAAAGAAATTTGAATAGAGAAGCAAAGATAAGAGATATGCAGAGAAAAGGAGAGTCCTAGCAGCTTTGAGTCTCAAGTTCCACTCACCAAAATCTTGGTTCCTACAGCTCTTCAATTCCATGAGTTACCCTAGTTCTTCTTCCTAGATTATCCCAGCAATTCTTCCTAAAATAAAGCCAATAAATGCCTTTTTGTTTAGCTACGTTTTGCATAAGTTAAACTGAGTTAATTTACTGTTGCCTATAACCACACACAGCCTGTTCCAATAGAGCACAGTTCCGAAATCCAGTACAACTGGAATCAAGTTAATATCCCATTTCTTAACTATATGATCCTGAGCAATTTACAGTCTTCTGTTTTCTCTTTAGTAAAACTAGGACAATAATACTTACATAGAAAAGTTGTTTTGAGATGTAAATAAGATAGACATAAAATAAGAGTCACAGTGCAGGGTGTGATAGTGTTTAGATGATGTGAGTTTCCTTCCCCAATCTAACAGATCTAACAGATCAGCTGAATTACAGACAGGGAAACCCTCTCTAATTCCTATCTCTTTAAATATTTGGGGGTTACTTATGAGCATAAGAAACTCACCAGACCTCCACCATATAAATGAGACCCTGGACTCACCAGCCAAAATGGCAAGTGTAGTTTAGCAGCTTGAGCTCAATAACAAGCCACTGAAACTCCTTCAACCCTTCCTGAACCAAGTCAATTTCCTCTTGCCATGGCTATGCAGCCTCTTAAACTAACTCTAACCCTCCCAGATTTTCCAGTCAATTAAATAAGCTTTACTCAGAACTGATCTTCGACTTTGAAGTGAAAAGGTGTTCTGACGTCACTATATGGGGAAAAAAGATCATCAAACCTCTTCAAGTGAGAAGCTTCATTAATCTTGAGGGAGAACTCCATTAGCTTTAAGAGAAAGCTAGGTGGAGCAAGAGTAAAAAGGAAGCCTCAGATTTTTCACTTAGACCAAGATAGTCATACATCAGAAAGCAACCAAGCCTGTCTACTCTGCCCTTAGGCCAGGCTCTCCTCTGGTGAAATAGGGTCAGAAAAACTCTTTACCTTGGACTACCTGATTGAAACCTGAGGGTAGGACTCAGGTGCAATCCATCAGGGGAGGATGGGTGGGAGATTTGCAAGGGGTAAGTTAACCCAACCTCAATCTTGCCCCAAAAAGAAGATGGGCTCCCCTACACTGAAGACAGGACTAAGAACAGTAGTCCTTTCACCCTCTCCCTAGCTACACAAGAGAGAAAATCGACCGAAGAGATTTCAACAGAGCCTAGCATTCCCACTAGCCATATAAAAGGTAGGGAGAGGGAGTGACCAACACAAAGGCAAAACCCTCTACTGATCAAGTTGCTGAGCCTGAGGCAGAAAATGTGGGAGTCGAGAAATGCTTATCAAGTAAGGCCTAACATTCCAAGGATGATCCAGGCTTTCTTAGGATATGCTTCATTGACTTAGTTTTTGTACCACTGGATCAGCATGGGAAATGAAGCAATAAGGACATTACAAGAAAGCAAATCTACAAAGTGCTCTCTCATGAACATAGATGCTGAGATATTAAAAGTATTATCAAATCAAATCTAGCTTTATATAAAAGAAAATGCATCACAAGCAAGTGGGGTTTGTTCTAGAAATGTGAGTGTGATTTCGCATTCAAAATCATTAACATAAAAAGGTGGGAATTATGTGATCATCTTAGGAGATGCAGAAAAACATTTGAAAAACATAAACACCCATACAAGATAAAAACTATTAGCAGAGTAGGTATAAAATGGAACTTTCTTAATCTCATTAAGATTACAGAAACCTATAGCAAACATCACACTTAGTAGTGAAGTATCAAAAGCTTTCCTCCTGAGATCAAGGGTAAATAATGAATGCCTACTATCAGCATTTCTACTCAACATTATACGGTAGTTATAGCCAGTGCAATATGATAAGAAAAATAACAAGCATAAGGATTAGAAAGGAAAATATAAAACTGTTATTATTGTCAGGTGACACATTTGTATAGGTATAACATTTAAGATAATCTGTAAATTGTTACAATTAATAAGTAAAATTTGCAAGGTTATTGGATGCAAGGTCAGTACACATAAGTTACTGTTATTTCCACATAGCAGCAATGTATAGCAATTTAAATTTATATAAAAGATGACATTTACATTAGCTAT